ATTCCGTCCCACCAATCCCAAATGGAAATTGCCACCAGAGATAATAATAATAATAATAATAATAATAGTAATAATAATAATGATAATAATAATAATAAAAAAAATAAAAAAATAAATCTTCTAAAGTGTCTCTCGCGCTTCAGTTCGTTGTCCGCTTGATTTCTTTTTTTTTTTTTTTTTTTGCCTGACGAGTTCACTAATATAATAATAATAATAATAATAATAATAATATTAATAATAATAATGCTAAAAATCGGATGCCTCGAGAATTCCGGAAGCGAGCGAGATAAAGGAGGGGAAAGAGGGATCCCCCTCCCCCTTCCGTTTCTGTACGCCGCTGACGAGAATGATCGTGGGACGAATGAGCTCGGTGTCCACGATTCGTCTTTTTGAATTTCCCGCCTTTTCCCGAATCTCGCGCCACACGAAAGAATCGATCTCGACGAGATTTTTCGCACGTATTGTATCGTTGCACGATCGATTTTTTTATTTTTGATATTTTTAATAAACACGTCCGTTGCGGGGGAATTCTCGAATGGCGGTTATCGACGAAGATACATTATGTTATACGCGTACACGTTTCGCATTGAACGTGCCATAATCCTCTCTCGCCTCGAGAAATTTATTTGGTTCGAGGGATATCGTTTTATCTCGCTCGAAGACGCATTCTCTGTTATCCGCGTCGAAAACGAAGCGTAAGAGAATTGGGCATCGAATCCCTCCTTCTCTTCTGGTTGAAGTTAAAAATCTCTATAATATAAAGTTACTTTGAACGAACGAGTTTGTTAAAATGAAATTAACATTTAACATTGTAGCTAACATCGTTGCAATTATATCTAAAACCATTTGCCATTATATGTAGTTATTATTATTATCGAGGTAACTTTATTCTTTAACTTCGACTATTTATTAAATTTTTCCGTCGCTTCAATCCCTTCGAAATCCCTTTAAGATCCCGGAGACAGAAAATAAAAAAAAAAAAAAAAAGAAATCGGTCGACGCTAGTGGTAAACTCGTGATCCTTGTCACGCTCCCCCCTCCCATTCCGGAAGTGTTCCTCCATGCGCCTTTTAACGCGTCACCACCACCATCCTCGTTGCCACCGAGCTCGAGAGTGCATCGTCGGCGATTTGGCGCCTCGAATGTGTGTCCAGTGTGCGATAGACCCAAACCGAGCTCAGCCATCGGGCATCATGTAAGTAGATCGATCACCGGGGATTGCTGGATCTCGATCTCCTCCTCCTCCTCCCTCTTTCTCTCTCGCCGACTCCCTGAATCGAACCGAGAGAAAGAGAGAGAGAGAAATGGCTAACCCACCTTTTCGATGCGATGCGAAAATTGATGGGATAATATCTCGCGGAGTAATGGGTGGTAATCCGAAATGCTTTCTTTTCTTTTCTCTTTCGTAGAAAAATTTATTTTTTTGGAAGAATAGGGATGGAAAAAAAAAGAGTATGAAAAGAAGAATAATTGTAAAGCTGTTTTTTTTTTTTTTATTTTTTAATTGATTAATGATATATTTATATTAGTCTGTAAGAAAATAATCGTAACTTTTAAATCAATCATTCATTATTTCGAATTATTTCGAACATTTTTATTTATTTTCTTATTTAAAATCAACGGATTCGATTATACGTATTTCATTTAAAATTAACGAGACGGTTGAAGAAAGTGGGTTAGTTCAGGATTCGTAGGAGTTTCACAGGACAAAAAGAAAAAAACATCTAAAGATAATTTTAAGAAAGAAGAAGGGGAGGGGAGGAGGAGATCCATCCGGAGAAGGAGAAGCGATCCACGGGATCGATGATCGATGGCAAAGCAGCCTTTTCGATCCATCCGCGTGTCTAATGGTTCGCGTGAAAAATGACGCGTGATGATCTCTGTTTCAGTCTGAACCCGAGCGTAGAGAGAAGCTCGCTAAACTCGACTAAAAGGTACTTTGTGACTGGTTATTGACTGTTCTACATACATATATATATATATA